TCGCGCTCCCACAAGCCTTCTCCTCGCCGTGAGACCGACGGGCGGGGACGGAGGAGAGGGCGGGAAGGAGGGAGGGGGGGGCGGGCCGCGGGTGAAGGGGGAGAGGATTGTGTTCAGAATCATACCCGTGAGACCCTGTGGTAAGGAGACACATTGAAAAGGGAAGAAGTGGAAGCTTGACGTGTTGGCAAAAAAGGGAAGAGCACGAAACGGTTGTCTGGGACGTGCTACGGCCTTCCAGGGAGGAAAAGGGGGTACCGCAAACATACGAGACGAGGCAGGAGATGATGGATACCAACGTTAAGAAGGAAAGAGACACGCACCATTCTTTCGGAAACGCGATGTGACGGCGTGCCTTAAATTGAGCAGATATGTCTATGTAACCACTTGTCTCTACGCACTGCTGCTGATGCGGGCAGGGGGATGGCCAGGTGACGGGATAATATCACACAAAAACGCCACGGCCCGGCGCTGCAGCCGCCTACCTTGGAAATTAAGGGTACGTTTATGTACTTGTGAGCGATTTGAGGGATTGTCACGATATTATGGGTGGGAACGATAGCCTCATATATACGGCATTGAAGCTGCCTCATGCTGCCTCCTCTAGGCTTTAATATCTGCAAGGCCACTTGAGGACATCTACACCAACCACAGATTGAAAACACAAACATTTTCGACGCCTCGACGATTCACAACCTGATGCGCAGAAATACGTGTCTATGCATTTCTTATCCGCTGAAAAATGGGCTCCTCGACACTCAGGCTCTCATCAGTCTCTCTCAGGGCAAGGAGGGGCGGACGAGGGCATCTCTTCCCTCACCTCACTCCCCTCATCCCATCCGCCACTACTGCTATGTGTACACCCAGAAAGAAGCAGAAGAGCTTATCAAGAAAGGATCGCGGGCATGATCTGCGAGGTCCAAGCGCTCGACGCGCTGTTAACGGGGGCTATGCTTCCTGAAGTGGTTGCTTTTCCATCCCACTCCGAGTCACGAACGAAGAAGGGCCTTCGTCGATGACGATGATGGAAAAGGCCTCAACATCCCCTCTTTCATCCCTTGTCCCCGTACAAGTCAGCTCAGGGCCATAATGAAACGCATTAAAACCTTATTTGAAGAAAGTTGGTGAAGATGTGAACATTCATGAGTCTCACTTGCATGTTTGGGCTTGGAGCCTTGCAAAGTCCTCCCGCCATGTCAATTGTCAGTAGCGGAACGCATATGCTTGGCCCATTTTTTCCTCACACGAGTGCCGAGTGCAGTGCAGTCGTGTATCGCACGCGCACGAGGGTAGTAGCTACTTTTTTATAAATTGCGGATAATCTTAACGACTTGCTGATATGCTCACTCCCTACCGCACAAGGCCACTGCTTGTCGTTTGTTGCATCCTCTTATTCGAAGGCCCTCAACCTCCTCTCCCCCCACATTAATAAGGTCAGGTAAACGAACCCCATGGCGCTCAAAGCTTTTTTCCGAGTCGCAGGCACTGTCTTCTATCTGCTACTCGTGTTAAATGCAAAGTCAAGGCAAATTGAGTCTCTATTCCGCGGACCTGTACTCGTACATCCCCTCACCCCTACACCATCGCTTGAACCGTCAAGTGGTCAGCTCTGGACAGTAGCGTGGCAGGAAAAGTCGCAAAGCTACGTGTTGTCACCCTCTCCTGATCCATCATTATACGATCTAATGCTTGCGCACGGAACGCTCTTTAATGACTCTGTGCACCGATCGGGTTGGTGGCAGTTGGCCATTGACACAGACCGAGGATCAATTGATATAGAACGGCCCCCCGAACGCCAGAAGAGCAGCAAAAACGATGCATCGCACGAAGAAAGCCTTGAAAGCAAACAAAGGCTCAAAAGTCAACCTACTGATGAGGAGGTGTGGGATCTTCGTCGCTGGTATGCAGCAGGCCTTCTGGAAGGGTACATGAGCGCGCCGTTGGTAGCTGAATATGCCCAAAATGCCAAACATTCCCTCTTCGGCGCCAACCACTACCCCAGGTGAAGGTTACGCGTAATTCTAGGCTTCTTGTATATTTAAATCCACAAGCTTAACACAGATACTGGCGCCTTTTAGGTTCCGCGATCTCCCTCTTTATATTTGAGCCCCACTCCAGCCAATTCGACTCACATTCACCCCTTCCTTTTTTCTTCGCTCCCTTCATGCCTTTTCGGCAGCGAGGGCCTCTTGGCCTTCTTGGAAGAGAATCGCGCTTATGTCTATGCCCGGATGAACTCCCCCCGCGCCCTCGGACCGGGAGAAGAGGAGGCGGCATCAGAAGAGCAGTACTGGCTGGCAGCAGCAGCAATTATAGCACAGTTTGAAGGTACGAGCGCCAGATATTTCTTGTCAGGTTTCCGATTCTTCCTTGGCGGTCTCGTCCACTTGGAAAACCTTCCCCTGCGTGAAAGTGGCGAGCATCCTCCTTGTTCTCAAATAGTCCGTGACACCCCACGCAGTCCTAATTTACCGCTTGCTATACCGTGCGCTTGCTTTCCGATACTGGTCGCATGCCTTTCCCCTTTGCAGGCCTCGTTGCCGGGTATCAAGCGACGGCGACCCATGCCTTCCGCGCCCCCCTCTCCTCTCTCGAGCTCTACCTCCTAAATGCCTACGGCGATATTTTTGACCTTTCCTCCCTATTTCCGCCACAACCGGGGACGCCCCCTCAGCAGTTGGGGCCATGGATGGGGGGAGAGAGGATGCGAGGGGAGAGAAGGGGAGAGCACACGGAATCGGAAGGGACTGTGGAGGGGGATTCAGGGGCTGTGTGGCAGAACCGAGACAACGACCGTTGCAGTGTCCTGATGAAGGGCGTGGACGGGAATCAGGTCGGGAAGGAAAAGAGGAAGGGAGGAGGGAGGGAGGGAGGGAGGAAGCAAGGGAGGGAGGGGGAAAATGTTTTTATTAGTAGGACAGAGGGAGGAAGAGTGAGCCGTTGGCGCCATCTTGAAGCCTAGATAGCACGACCATTATGGAGTGCTCTCGCCTAGTTCCCTCTGTCCATCTCCCTCCCTTCTACCCCTCTCTCCCTGCCTTTCAACCTCCCCCCTCTTTCCCTCCCTCCTCTCCCTGCCCCTCTCCCTAAGGGACCAGACATTTTGGTGGGCCACACGACCTATGACTACTACGTAGTGGCTTGGCCGCGTATGATCAAGGAAACCGTACTGCCGCTCAGGTGGGGCCGAGGGCAAGGGGGAGGGAGGGAGG